CGTGATTCCAATAAGACACTGCAGAACACATAAAAACTGTCTCTTACACTGAACATTTCCAGTAGAAATTACTTCAAATTAGCCAGAGCACCACTGAAGACTTACAATAATGTGGGAAATACCTTGTCTTCCTGTTTGATGCAGACTTCTGCAGATGCACAATTAAGTTGCTGCTTATGCAAGAACTTTTTTTTTCCATTTTCCTTTTTTCTAAAGAACTGTTAACAGTAAAGGCAAAACAATGACCCGAGCTAAAATACTTTCCAAGAAATATGTGCGCAATGGTCATAAAACAACATCAAGAAAAAAATTACATAGTTTCATTAACAAGAAACCCAAACATACTGGGTTAACCCAAACACTTATTCATGTGTGTGTGAGTGGTAGAGAGGAATGGCTGGAATAGACAGAACCTAAGCTGTAGACACATTGGTAAAGCAAGATGCATGCTGTATTCTGCAGTTTTATTAAAGCCTTTTGATGGCTTTGAAAAATTGCCTTTGAGTCTTTCTAGTAAGATGTAGCAGCAGTCCCAAGAGAAGCTATGTTGAGGGTTTTTTTTTTTTAATTCATGGAATTAGTTAGCTGCAGGGAAGAACTTGGCTCAGGGAGTCAATCCACATGTGGCTGGATGACGTGGTTTCATCTTCTGAGTGAGAAATACACAGAAAATCTGACACATCCTTCTTGGAATACTGGAAAGGCTCTGAAGTACAACTTGTTCTTTCATCACACCACCATCTTAGTGAAACTTACCAGATGGAAGGCTCCACCAGGAAAAATCCTGTAGGATCTCAGGAGGTCTGAAGAGCTAAAGCAGAGGACCTGTTCCTTAATCTGTGGCTGTAAATTCCAATAAATGGAGTAGCGGATTTCCCCTAAGAAGAAAAATAAGTCAAGCATCCAACCTACTGTGAACAAAGCAACAGGGGTGGACAACAACCAGCTTCATGAAATACTCTGCTTGGAAAGGCTACCTGATAAGTAAAGGAATCCACTTTTCACTAATTAGGAAATAAGACAGGCTAGGAATAAAAAATGGATCTAAGCCAGACTCTTAAAAGCCTAAGAATCATTAGAAATACATAGTGTTTGACTCCATTTTGTACATTTGTCTGGTTTATCCCAAATCTTCTCTCAGACTGGGCTCTCCATTTACATCTTGGGGCCTTTGGGCGCATGTCATGGTTGAGACAGAACCCTCCTTTTCAAACAATTGCTCTCTTCTGGGAAAAGGGGTAGAAAAGCATTTCTGATTAGTCAAAAGGTTTTGCTTGCAAAACTTTTGGTTTGTATATGTGCTCAGTGTGGGTAGGGAAAAGGAGGATAAAAACTAATACTATGAAAAGGAACGTCCCTTTACCTGTGCATAGGTATGCTCATGACATTCAGTGGTACACACATAAATCACCTTAACATAAAATATAAACTAGGAATTGAAGCCAGCTAAAGAGAACAGGAGAATGTTTTGATAAGTGTCTGCTGAGAAAATTAATAATTACAGTTCCACATATTAAAAGTAAGAGTTACCATCCACAAGACCCAAATGGCTTTAAACACACCTGCTTCACAAGAAACAGCCTAATTTCTTCTTTCCGTTGAGCACACCTGCCTTTTTTTGGACAATAATCTTCCAATACAACAATAACTACAGGAAGGCAATCACCTTTTTTAACTGTTTTTCACCCAACACTACAATGATTACAAACATTGCAAAACTATCCCAAACCAAAATCAGGGTAAGAACTACAGTTAATCAGAAGCAGCACAGGCTCACACAACTGTCCCACACCTCCAGATGGCTCTCTTAGTTGCATGAATGTCCTCACGCGAGCGACCGTGGCTCAGAGAAAGTGTCAATTCTCTTGAAGATGAACCTGATTAGTTAAAAATTGGAAAAACATAACCCAGTACAAAAGCCACAGGTGGAAGCAACTCCTTATGGACACAAGCAATTCCAAACCCACAACTTGCACCTAGAAAATGATGCCCCATTATGAAAGCTGGATGTATTTGAAAAGAAACCGAAGTGTCTAACTCATATGTAAAAAAGCTAGATTTTTTTTCATTTTTCTAATGCAAAGCATTAACAAATATAGCCTTGTCTACAACTGAAAGTTGTTAGCAGAAAGCACCAGTGCAGGGGACTGCAAACTGAATAGACAGGAATTGTAAGCAGACAGATTTTTATCACCATGACCTTCTAGAGATTTCAGAGAAAGGAAATACTTCATTCAAGATCCAAAAACATTTCTGAGACCTCTGTGGTGCTCGTCAGTTTGACACAAGAGTCCTGGAACTCATTCAATGAGAGTCCAGCCTGGTTCTGCCACACAGGTCCTCAAGCACAAGAGCAGCATGAAAAAATATTTGAGAGGATGGTACAGAAATATACACCAAAGTCATTGTTAAACTTCCATTATGTAAATGCTTTATGCTATAACCTAATTACATGAACAAATACACAAAAGCTAAACATTTGTCTATAACAGATCCATAGCACCCCACTGCACTAATATTCAGAAAACCAAACCATTTAGGTTAAGTTTACACATTAAACAGTAATTAATCCATAGCACAGTCTAACACATATGGTCTAAAACCATATATATATCCCTATGTGTTTATATTTATATATAGATTACCAACTAAAACAATAAATTACAAATTTAAGCGTGCTTAGGTCTGTCCTACTGGCTGAAATTAAGAGTGCCCCAGTATTAGAAATGAGAACAAAACCAGAAGAGTTCTGCACAACAAATATCTATTAGGTGTAATAAAATGAGGTATAATAAAAATTATGAGAATCTACACCTGTAGAAATAAGATTATTACTATGTTCTGAAAAGTACTCTTGTGCACTTCAGTACGCATATGCAAAAACAGAGGGTCACAATTGAGATTTGACTCAGAGACTTCTTGCCATACAACTGTTACGTAGTCTTCTTAAAAGCAGAGCATGGCTATTCTAATTCACTGCAAAATGATTTCCTGGTGTCCTGGGTTCAGCAGTAGCGGTCATTTTTCTCCTTCTTAGTAGCCGGTGCAGTGCTGTGTTTTTTCAGCCTGGGAACAATGCTGATAACACCGATGTTTTTAGTTGTTGCTCAGTAATGTTTACTCTGACCAAGGACTTTCTGAGTCTCATGCTCTGCCAGGGAGGAGGGGAAGCCGGGAGGAAGCAGAGACAGGACACCTGACCCGAACTAGCCAAAGATGTATTCCTTACCACAGCACATCATGCCCAGTATATAAACTGGCAGCAGCTACTCGGAAGGGCTAGATCACTGCTTGGGTCAGGCTGGGTGTCGGTTGGCAGGCGGTGAGAGGTTGTATTCTCTTCCCTTGTTATTTCCCTTATCATTATTATTGGTGGCAGCAGCAGTGGCTTGTGTTATATCTTAGTTACTGGACTGCTCTTATCTCGACCATGGGAGTTACATTCTTTCGATTCTCCTCCACACCCCTCTGGGAGCAGGAGGAGGAAGGGGTGGGGGAGGAGTGAGCGAGCAGCTGCGTAGCTGAGGTCCCAGATGGGCTTAAACCACAAAACCTGACAATTATGCAAAATCAAATTATGTGAAGACAGCCAATATTATTTTGATTGTAATTCTTACCAACTAGATTCTGCAACAACAAAAAGACCAATACCTATGTTTTTAGAGAGCTGCTGAGCCACAAATAACGAATTATTGGGAAAACACCAGTACGTTTGCCCTGTTCCTTACTCCTGCAGCATCAAATATTGTCCCTTTCTAGAGATGAAATAAAAACTACAGGCACTTTCACAGTACCTAGCTCATAACAACATGTTTTTCATACGAGGTGCAACTCTGCCCAGCAAGAATAAACCTAGAGGTCACACACACAGTGCATGTATCTTTTTTCCCTACCACTCCCCAAAAGAAAGATTTTGAAATTTTTTCCCCAAGGTCATCATGCTCTGAAAACTCCAGAAGGTTTAAGCTGCACATGGACTGCATGAAATGTACTTTCTCCAAGGATGAGAATTCTTCAAGTGCGTCCTCTCCCTTCGAGAAATCCTCTTGATTTCTTTTTTTTGGCTCAACTTTTGATTGCCATGCTCTTCAGTTGCTACTGTTCAACTGGAATGTAGCACAGATCACTTTAATACCACAACCAATTAAGTAGCTGAGGACTCTGGCATAAAAAGGACCATGACATTAAACTGTCTAGATGGGATAAGGGGGGATTTCTTTTGTTTTGGTGGTTTGCTGTGGGTTTTTTATTAATCTGTTTATACTAGAACATCTCAAGTAACATAAGATTACAAAAGTATTTCAGACACATTAAGGGAATGAAAGAGGAAAGGCTTTCAGTAGGTATATTAGAATCATAGAACAGCTAGGGTTGGAAAGGACCTTAAGATCATCAAGTTCCAACCCCCCTGCCATGGGCAGGGACACCTCACTCTAAACCATATTGCCCAAGGCCTCGTCCAACCTAACCTTGAACACTGCCAGGGATGAAGCATTCACAACCTCCCTGGACAACCTATTCCAGTGCCTCACTACCCTAACAGGAAAGAATTTCTTCCTTATATCCAATCTAAACTTCCCCTGTTTAAGTTTTAACCCATTACCCCTCATCCTACCACTACAGTCCCTAATTCCTCCAACATCACTTTCTGCAGTAGCTGTATACTCATTAGTGGGGGTCTCACAAAATTACTGAATTGCCTCTACAGGAGAAAGGCTTTAAGTTAATACATGCCATTTGTTGAACATCCAGTTTTGCCTTTGCTAGTACATCTGTAAGACTTCAGATCTAAAGCACACATTGTTGGTCATGTTACTCCTAATGATGTCAGTGGGAAGTTTTCCATTGACTTCAGTAAGAACAGGTATGAGCCAGTGCTTCTAAAAAAGAAATCCATAAAATCTGCCTTGCCCCCCATAACAAAGCCCAACTTTTAATTTAGGAGCATGCTGTAAGATAGGAAAAATTATTTTGCATATTTGTAAGAGCAAAAACAAGAGTAAAATTTAATATTTATTAGAATTTCTTCCAGTAACAGCATTCAACATCTTAACAAACCAAGTTGTGAAATCTTTAAAAAAACCTAGCATTACAAAAGAAGTTAAAATAAACTGTTCCTTATATTTAATGGCAACAAAGGGGGAATTTTCTATTTTAAAACAAACTTGTCATATAAACAGTATTATTTCAAGAAATGTGATTACCATGATATGTAATTTTCAGAATGGATACACAGTGTATGAATACCAATCTGAATGAAAGAGAGGGGCGGAACACACTACCCCCTTAAAAATCTCAAAATAGGCCATTTCAAGAAAGGGGAGGGAGGGAGAGAGAATCTTTCTAGTGAAATAACTTAGAAAATACCACGCAATGGACAAAAAACGCAAGAGTACATAAGACACTACATGACACCCTCATTACAACACCCCCTCAAGTCTGGTTATACAGTAAATAAAGTTAGTAAAGTGCATCTTTTAAAGACTTGTCTAGTGAAATAGCTTTTCCAAATATAAAACACAACACAAGACGTGCAGTAACATAGTGTAAGTTTTCAAAAACTAATCTTTAACTTTTCATTCAATAAGGAAGAAAAGTTTTAACTGCAGTAGTGTTCACATTATTCTTCGATAGGATGCATCCTCATGGGCTTTTGTTACTTGGCAAATCTTTAAATATGGAGCACGGCAAAATTATGCAGTTTAAGCAAGTGCTTCTCTCAATGTAATACAATTCTTCAATGGCAGAATGGCCACATGCAGTACAACCATGTTATATTTTGGGAAGCTTTGGTGCACTAACGACGGGATTGGTCTCCTGCAAATACCTTCGCCCTGCACTCTTATAGTCATAGGTGCAGGTGTGAGTCTCTGCATAGCGGTGTGTTGCACAGAAGTTGTTTCCACATCTGAAGGATCAAGAATATTAGAAGTCAGAAGCTTTCAGAAGCTTTTAACTCCCTGATATGCTAGAAGCCCTTTGGCTTAATCATGTCTTGTTTGTTTGACAAAGCTGCTTGGATTCTAATCATCCTTGACTGATAACATTAGCTGGTGGGGTAATCAAAATGACATTTTTGTCACCTTTGCAACTCTGACCCAACAGTCTCTTCAGCTGGGAAGTTAAGCAAGATCAGTACTCCTGAATTAGCTATCAAGGACTGAACAATCTTACAAATTCAGAATGACGGGCTTTGGTTTATTTTATTTCTTTTCTAAAGACCTCACACAACATCGGTTGGTAGAATTCAGAGGACAAAACCATAGAACTAAAATAATGGCATCAGGTGAAATCCACATAACGCATTTCAGTTAAAAAACACCACCACATCATTCAGACCACCAAAACAAGATGTTTAGTTCAACACAACTTCTTCCTGGCATAAACTCAAATTAGTTATTTGAGATTAATAAATACACATTTAGTCAGCTGTAAAAACATCAGACAGAATAACTATGGGGAACACGACTCCCTATATGACTGGATAAAGGTCCATCTTCCCAATATCAGTTGCAATTTGAATGAATTAAGATTACAATTTTTTCTTCAAACTTGACAGCTCACCAGCTAAGACTTCTAACGAGGAGAGTATACTCTGGATGTTGTACCTGATCTTGACAAGTGCATCAAGTGGAGACTAGTATTAGTGTCCCATTGCCTGATTATTTGATAAAGTTGTTTGTTGACAGGAAAGCAATTACATCGCTCACAATCGGAGTTCTCTTGAAATGGATTAGGCATTAGAATCACATAAGATTTGGGATAGAAGGGACCCTCAAGATCATCTAGTTCCAACCCCACTGCCAGATGCAGGGACACCTTCAACTAGACAAGGTCGGCTCAAAGCCTTGTCCAACCTGGTCTTGAACAATTCCAGGGATGGGGCATTCACAACTTCACTAGGTGACCTATTCCAGTGCCTCACCAACCCACCAGTAAAGAATTTCTCTGGAATATTTCATCTAAATCTTCCCTCTTTTAGTTTAAAGCTATTCCCCTTGTTCTATCACTATATGCCCTTGTGAAAAGCCCCTCACTAGCTTTCTTGTAGGCCTCCTCTAGGTACTGGAAGATTGCTATAAGGTATCCCCAGAGCCTTCTCTTCTCCAGGCTCAACAACCCCAGCTCTCTCAGCCTGTCTTCATTACTTATGCAACTTTCTGTCTCAGTATTAACCTATAATCTCCATCTATCTATCTATCTGGGTTGATAATAAACTCTAAAACTGTTACTGAGGCTTTGTGTGCCTGGTATTAAATTTCCTTTTCTTTGGTTCTTGATCCTGTAATCACCAGTTCTCTCAAACAACTGTATTCTCTATTCGGTTCACGTTCCATTCTAATAAAAGGTCGTATGGTTGCTTCTTTTGAAACTAGAACAAATGCTATTCTTGGAGATGTGCAATTTACCCCCTTTTCTGGGCTTCATTTTTAACCTTAAAACAAGCTGCTTAGTTACTTCTAGAAGAGCTTGCAGCTATGGGCTCAGCAGGAAAATGTGCAGTGTCCAAACCTGCTTCAAAATCAAAGACTGAAGAGTCAGTAAGGAGGCAGTTCCTCACCCTGAACCTCTCCAACACAATTCCCCACTAGCAGAAGTCTTGCTCATTTTGCTTTTGATTGGCATGAACCAAGATCAGCTTCAAATGCCACCCCCACAGTGCAGCAGTTCTCAACCTTGACTAGATTATTGGAATTGATACTGAAAAAAGAGTACCTTGTGGGAAATAATACTTTACGAACCAAGATCAAAGAGAAAGTGTTCAGGGTTTGGTTGTGGTTTTTTTTTTTTATTTAAGTTTCCAGTCATCACCCCCAAGTGTCAGGTCTCATTGTATTGTCTGCAAATCATGATTTGGGAGACCAGCACTCTGGCGTTCTGCTTTTGAGATGCTCTAGATGCTCAAAGGTGACTGAAGTCTCACAAGAAACACAACACATGCAAAATTAAAAAGCTGTCTCATATAAATTCATATAAATTCACAAACCATGCAGATGTGTTGTAATAGGGCCAAATCTGAGGGAGTTTTTCTGCAAAATTGCAACAAAGTCCATATTCCTCAAATTGTTGTTAACAATTGTAACAAGTTATAATATTATAATAATATGGTTGAGAAACTGCAGAACAGAAATCTTTAGCAAGTTCTCTCCACACCACTACAAAATATCATTGTTCTTTTTTTGTAATCATGTTCTTTATTTCCCAATACCTTGCACCCTAGTAATTTCCATTCCTTGATTTTCCTGGAGGAACATATACCTCAGCAACAGAACAGGCACAACATCCCTGAATTTTAATTCCTAAAGTTTTGCTGAACCAAGAATTGCAGCTTTGTGGAAGGCTGACTTTTGATTTGCTATGCTTAAGGAAAACCATGCAGTGCAGGAAACCTTTTGGTTAATCCAGATATCAATTTTAAACAAGAGCTGATTATACTCTCAGCCTACCTGCACTCATAGGTGGTTGCCAATCCAGTTTTCTTGCCACAAAGAAAGCAATGCTTTGTAATTTTCTTTTTTGCTTGAATTGAGCCATTCACAGGTGGAAGATGGGTTGCTTCACCTGCTTTCAGAGGTAGACACAGAGCAAAGACATTTTATTTTTACTTATTCCTGATCACGAACTAGTCAAATCTTTTGAAATCCAGATTAATTTTGCATTACTTAGGAACCTCAGGTGGGAACCCCAAAGCCTAAACAGAGAGTTAAAAACACACAAGCTAAAAGAGAAAAGACATCTCAAGCCTTTGAACATCTTTGGATGAGGTAAACACAATGCAGGAATTGAATACACTACTCTTAACACCTGCTAAAAGTTCACATAAGTTGCAGAAGAAATCAAGAAATACATCTTCTAATGGTCTTCCCAAATGTAAAATGAAAACACATGATGTGATTCGGAAAGCACTGTACAACTGGGCATTGAAGTACCTAGCATCTAGCATATTCAGTAGCAAATAGCTCAAGTTTGTCAAATAAATATTGCAACATTTGAAAATCTTGCTGATACTCCATAATTGCAAGAAAAGTAAATTATTAGACTACAGGCCTCAATTTAATTATATGATTGCATAAAGCATTTTGCAGATGTTTGTAAGATTTCTGTACTTAACAATTTACTTCGACTTTTTGACCTGTAATTCTTAGCTGTTGCTTTAGCAACTGAAAAGCATGTAAAGGAAAGGCATTTTCCTCCCCTTGGTAGAAGTAAACTCTGTCCACAAATTACTTTTGCATATTTACCATATGCTACAATAGTGAAGGTGAGCAATGCATCCTCTCAAACATTCTTTCAGTCATTCTACCACTATATTGTCAGGATGCTCATAAAAACTGGCCTTTACGAGTTCACACTTTTTTTGTCCAACATACATTCAATCTCAACAGTCAATTCTCAGCTGAGAGACAGCAGGCTACACTCAATAGTACTGCCAGGCAGTCACTACACATTGCAGTCATCACTACCAACCAGTACTACCTCATAGCTATCTAGCACAGGAACTTCCAGGCAATGTTTGCCCACACTATCAATTTCACCATCTTAAAAGCATACTATTTCAGAAGCATCAGTTAGCCCAGTTTGTGATAAAGACAGAACTTGAAGACAGACCCCTGTCATGGACCATACTTGAACAGAAAAAGGAATATACCCATCCTCACATTTATGATCCCTACAGCAATTACATGTAAACTGTATCTGTCCTTTGGCCAGTTATACAACGTATCATTACTGGCCACTTCTCTCTCAAGAGCCTGTAGGATATGATGACACCAACTTTGGCTTGTTCACGTCTGGAACCTTTTGGAAAATACACTTTTTTCTGATGTAAGATGCATCAGAAGAGTATCTTCAGAGTCCTATCCAAGATGACACAGGTGATAGCAGGCTTCCCCATCATGCAGACGTGGTTATTAGAATCATAGAATAGTTAGGGTTGGAAAGGATCTTAAGATCATCTAGTTCCAAACCCCTGCCATGGGCAGGGACACCTCACACTAAACCATGTCACCCAAGGCTCTGTCCAACCCTGCCTTGAACGCTGCCAGGGATGGAGCATTCACAACTTCCCTGGGCAACCCATTCCAGTGCCTCACCACCCTCACAGTAAAGGACTTCCTCCTTATATCCAACCTAAACTTCCCCTGTTTAAGTTTTAACCCATTACCCCTTGTCCTATCACTACAGCCCCTAAAGAAGAGTCCCTCCCCAGCACCCCTACAGGCCCCCTTCAGATACTGGAAGGCTGCTATGAGGTCTCCACGCAGCCTTGTCTTCTCCAGGCTGAACAGCCCCAACTTTCTCAGCCTGTCTTCATATGGGAGGTGCTCCAGTCCCCTGATCATCCTCATGGCCTCCTCTGGACTTGTTCCAACAGTTCCATGTCCTTTTTATGTTGAGGACACCAGAACTGTACACAGTACTCCAAGTGAGGTCTCACAAGAGTACCATCCCTGTTACCAGGGTAAGGACAGACCTGTTAATTAATTGACTGCCAATTCAAAGCTGCACCCCTAGTTGTGAAATGAAGGCACAATTCAGTGTTTTAGCAACTTTAGCTCCCATGTCATTACAAGTACATCATTTTCCCTGTTGCAGCTCCTACTTGAAGATCTATCTTCTAGCTCATTCTCTATATCAGATCTTGAAATTAGTGTTTAGGCACAACATATCCATTTTCAGCACACATCAGGCATTAAGCAGTCCACAGTTACCAAGACTAAGGTAGAAAGAATGATGCCCACCACAAAAAAAAAAAAAAAAAAAAAAAAGGAAAAATCTGCACAGTAATTTTCAGCATCCATGCTCTTATTGCTTCCTCTCCACATTCTTTTTGCCAAATCCTTCTTGGCTCAGGCTGTAACCCTTAAGACAACACCAGTGATAAATTTGCCTCTGACTTCAGTACACTCAGAAGTATTCACAGCACTGACCTTTTGGAAACTTCAGAGCAGAAATCATATTTATGTCTACAGATGACATACAGGATTCACTAAGTATTAAAAATAAGCTAGGTAAGAGTCACAGTTATGTCTACCTAAGATCTGGATGACATCTGCGTGTTAAAGAGTCGCTTAGAATACTAGAAGTTATACCATGATATAGAAGTACAATACAGCAAAGACTTGGAAAGACATACGCCTTACAAAGATAAACTATTCTTGTCCTCTATAGATGTGATATATCAGAAAAGATTAAAGGGTCATCTTCAATTATTATTTAAGTCACACTACTTACCTACTCTTCTCCCTACAGCTGCAATACTTCCATTCATTCCAAGCCCATGCGCAGACTAAAAAGAAAAAAATTTCCACAAGGGAATTACTAGCAGATGGAAATTAAATGGGAAGTTAGGTAGTCTGGTATCAGCTTATCTGAAATCAATGTTTCATCAATCGACATACCTACAAAGAGTCCAAAATTACTTCGTACACAAAATTAGAATTCTGCAGTATAAAGCCTTACTTAAAATGTCTATTTAATAGTCCTCCCATACTTCACAACACACCAAAACGAGAAAGTACATTAGAGATCTGAAGGTAGGCATGTACAGTGCCAGTCACAGTGCGAACTTTGGCATAAATGACAATTAGCAAGCAGCAGGAGATGTCAGATGACACTTCAAACACAGACACTCATAATTCTATCATTATGGTAACTAATGATTTTAGGTGAAAACTGAACAACCACTTCAGTATTTATGAAAAATTACTTCTAGGACCTGTTCAGATAAACAGGCAGTTGAAATACCAGCAGGAATTCAGAAAACAGTTTAAGATCTATCAGAGATTTAAGTACACCTCCCCCTTCCCATCTGCCTTCCCTGAAAAGACACAGACACATGCACTGAAAGTAGAGTTTTCATAATGCCAGTACCAGAAAAGACAGAAAAACTTCAAATTCTTTGGAAGCTTAAGTACTCACTAGAATATATTCAGCAGCTTCATTTGGAGGAGTAGTTTTCCTAAAGCTTTCTTCCTGACAATGCTGCAGGTTTGCAGGTAATGCAATACCAGAAGTCCAAAACCTGCCTGTCCCACAGGAACTCTGTATACTTTCCCTGTTCGTGCTTCGGGCCAGCGAAGCCAGAAATCCTAAGTTACTTACAGAACTCACAGGTTCTCTGGATGCCTTGTTAGCCACATCTGTGAGGTCCCTACCCTCTGCTTTAGAAATTACATCAGGTCTTTTACCGAGTGACTCTACTTTCATGCTACAAAATCTAGCAGTCCTAGAAAAAGAGGAGTCTGCTAAACTGCGGACTTCCAATGATCGAAGCATGTTTGGGGAGGCTGTAGATCTCAAGTTACCAGCCTCAAAGCATTTGGGTTGTGCTTGCGGTTTCAGAGAACTGTGACGTGCCATTTGTGCTGAATACCGAAGAGGTGACAACAGCAGATTTTTTTGAGGACTTAATTCACGAGTACGGAGAAGACCAGACCCCATTGCTGTAGTGCTCAGCACTTTGCTAACAGGTTTTCTGTGCTGCTCTACAACCTTAGATTCTTCATCTCCATCAGGCAGTTCAAGTTCTCGGTTCACCTTTCCTATGTCATATATCTCACTACACTGTTCAGTGGTGTTTTCTTCTGTTAACAAAGCAAAAGCATCTGTTTCAGGTAGAAGTTTTTCTTCTGTTCCATACAGTTCTACATTTGTGAGATTCGGAAACAAAACAGCATCCTCTTCACTTGCTGAGGTCACATTTTCAGATGCTTTTTCTGAATTTTCGGACAGAGATGAAACAGGAGTCAAAATACTATTAGTAGGTAACTTTGCATTTTCTAGTTCAACACGAGATATTTTTGGTGGTAACCTGATGCTACTAATTGACTGTGACCATGAGTTGCTCTGCCAGGTGTCATCTTCCTTAAGAAAGTCATTATCTGTGGATGGCATCGTTCTACCAGCAGTGGCCAAAGTAGCCAATGCTGAAAGTGCATTTTGGGAAGACTCTGAGTGATACAAATTCCCAGGAGGAGGTAGGCAGGACTGTCCAATATGGGGGAGCACTCTTAAAAAACGGTGACGAGCAGAAGCCACTGAGCCACTAGATGGTCGAGGAGCCATCGGAGGACGAGATTTCACCTTGACAGTTTTCTTAGGCTGTTAAATAAATAAAACCCACATACAACAATTAGTATTTGAATTATCGTTTCATTTAAAGATTATATTGCCAGGAATTAAGACACTGTAAGGCCAGAAAAGACTAAATCATTCTTTGTACTGTTATCTGTTGCTAGCCATCAAAACCACACCCCAACATCTGAATAACAGAAATCAAAATATTACAATCAAAAAAGTCTTCTGATAAAAAAAAATCAGATATAGGCAACCACACATCAACAGAATAGAAAGGGAAGCCATAATGCCACCAAAGTTACCCAGCAGAGCTAAGGGTCTCAAACAAAATGAACAATGAAAGAAATCCTCTTCATTTTAGATCTAGTTAACCTAGACAGACATGAACACCAATATAATGCTTTATATTCTAGGTAATCTCATTCTCCTGTTTATAGTCTTTTCAGTTACAGTATTTTTTATGAAGCTTCATTTAAGAGAAACACTGATTTTTACCACAGAACTACTGCAAAACAACATTAAAGTATTGGAAGAAAAAAAGCAAATAAGAAAAAAAGAAAAAAAACCCAAACCAAAACAGCCAACCAACCAAAAAAAAAAAGAAACCAAAAAAACCCAACACGAAAACACACACACAAAAAAACACCATCCCAAAAATCCCATATACCCATAGAAAAACCCACCCAACACATACAAATCAGAACCAGTAGTGAATTGTTGTGAATTGTTTGAATGAGGACAGGTAGATCCAAATAAGACCAATGCTGCACAGCAGAACATTTATACAACAGCATTTACTTAAACAACAGGTAAAGAATCATCTACCCTTGATCCTTCACTTCCCAAGACAGCAAAATATCTGATCTGCTTTTTAGAAAAGCCAGCACCAGGAAAGTGCAAGCCATTTTACAGTAAGAAAATTTAAATCACAACTTCACCTTTTTACTCAGATTCATGTTCTCCATCTTTGCCTTCAGTAGTTTCATTTTATTCATAGTAATTGAATTCTCAATAATCTGTTGGCCAGAAGGTGATGCCTCTGTCTCATCTTCATCATCCGCATATAAGTTATAAATTGAACCACCGCTGAAAATAAAAGAAAGTTTGTGTTCATCCTCTAATCATGTAATTATGTTTTCAATGAAGTAGTATTCTCACAAATAGATTCATATCTGCAGTTGATCTATTGACAAAGCATTATGTAAAACTGTTTGCAAAGACATTTCAAATCTATTTAATTAGCATATAAGCATTCCTTATAAGATGCTCACACAAAGTGATGATGCTGAAATCAGAACATAGCCACACTTCCGGGAAGTTGTTATACCATATACAGTTAGCTCACACTCACTATATATTTTTCCCCACAGAAGGGATATCCAGTTCCACAAATGTCTCCTGAAGGTATGGCCAAAGTTGTTAACTGTGTGACTCAGACAACAAGCTGATCAGTTATCCAATTAACCAGACACTGGCATGGAAGCAAAGTCCAAATTTCTATGCATCCTGAGGGGTGTTCTCACCATAAGTGGAAATGGAGGGTTCACCCATGTGGATGTGATATTCTACTTCTGCTTCTCAAAAAGAAAAAAAAAAAAAAAAAGGATCAGTTTAGGTTTCCAAAGTCTCATACTTGGGGGGGAACAAACAAACCAAAACAAGCAAACAAAAAAAAAAAACAACAAAAAACACTCCCAAAAAACCAAAACACCACCAAAAAAAAACCACCAACCCCCAAAAACCCTACCCAACTTTTTTTCTCCACTAATTAGAGCTGTCATCTTACCTGATTCATGTAGCAAAATTCTAAAGGCAGCACAACTTCAGGAGATAGATACTTAAGATGGCAGCAAATTCAAAGCAGGAGTTAGCAAAACAGTCCAGTCATTTCTTATCAAAACCTGAATAGCTCCATATGGGGCCAGCAAGCTTGGTAAAAGACTCAACACTAAAGAATCATGTCAGAATTTTAATTCTGCAAAGACTTAAGTCACCAACTGAAAACAATTCTTGGAACCGTTTTTCGTTCAAGGTAAGGATAGAGAGAAAAGTGATGCATTGCACACGTTTGGCTGGTTTTTTGCTTCACTGGTTGTTTTTTTGGAGTGGGTTTTTGTTTGTTTTATTTTAATGCAAAAAGAATTGTTATCCTTTTTTTTTTGTATTTCCTGGCTAAATAGCAACCCCCCAAAAAACACATACAATAAAAAAAAAAAAAGCCCCAAAGAGTAACGGAAGGATTTCTTTGCTTTGATTCTAAAATTATAGAAGATGGACATGAAACTTTGCTCTTGATCACACTTTTAGCCCACTTTCCAATGAGTATACTTCAAATCTACTTTATCCATAGGTGTCAACATTCCTGAGATCTTGCTTGTAAACGTATACCTCAAAAACGATCAGTAGCTTGCTGAAACCTTTTGACATCAGTGCTTGCCAGTCCCCTACCACAACTTCAACAGTTTTCTTTTAATCCAGAGACAATAATCATTGTATTTACACCTTGTAAATTTTGAACCCTTAACCACAGATGAAAGGAAATGATCTGGAGAACTATAAAACAAAACTCAAACCAGTGCCTCATTTCTAAATTGCAGCCATTAAGTTCTGCTCCACATGTAAGCAATATGATAAAAGCTGATAAATAAGTGCCTCAAAACTCTCAGTCACCAGTATATGCACACATATAAACATATTTTACTGTCAGTGTGCAAAGTGCTACTATTCAGAGTGATTCACAGCCTTCCTCTATATAGAGAAAATGAAAAGGTCTGATTTACTTCCATTCTCTCCTCTGTTACTGTTTCCATTTCCCACAAAGTCTGCCCAGCCATAAAGATTAAAAGAAAACAAAAAAACAACACCACACAAACAAACAAACAAACAAAAAAACCCCAGAATTTCTCCCCCACCCAATCAGTGTCTGCCTTAGTAGAAAAGCTAATAAACGAACACCCACAGAAAGCACTGAACAACTGAAGCTGAATGTTTTCAACTCAGTTGGCTTCTAACCTAACTGGATAATTTAACCAGTGACAGCACATTTCTTAAGTATAATGTATCTGACTTCTATACATGCTCTTGTGCTTTGAAAAGCTTACCAAGATGCCTTATAAGAGCCAAAAGAATGTGGTTTTTCCTCTGGTTTGCTACCTTTAGCCAATCTCAAGTAAATAGTAAATTACTATTTAATTTATACACTAGAATTATCTAGTTGAAAACTAAGAGTTTCAAACAATTGTCCATGCTAGTTTTAAATGGGGGCTGGGGACAGAGGAAAAACAAAACCACCTCTCACACACAAGAATTTGAACATGTAGGCAGATACCAGAGTGTCCATTATACTGGGGAAAAAAAATAAAAATTAAAAGAAAAAAAATCAAAGTTCAAACTCCTGAGAATTCCTTGCATCAATTCACAGTATAGCATCCACAGTTCTAGCTCTCTGGATGGTCATTTGCAGTTAAAGGTAAAAGGGAACCATTTGTTAGTAGGCAGAGTATCAATGAGTACAGGAATTACACCTGTCTGCCCCTCTTTTCAGAAGTTTATTTAGCCCAATGCAGCAGCAAGGTTATCAGTTCTTGCTGATGATGGTGGCTTTTACCTATTTCAAATATACACACAACATAGTAAGTGGCTATTTACTGAAAATGAGTGCAAGGCTTGAAAGATGATCACAAATCTAAAATATTTGTGTATTTCCTCCTCTTATTATTTTTTTATATAATAATATTATTTCAGAACATTAATGAAGTAAACACCAGCAAAACAAAAACCCCACCAACACACCCCCAGTTTCTCCAAATCTTCAGACAAACCCTTTCAGGATTTTTCACTGCCAGGCTACTATCTTCCTGCCTAATCATTTGGTGAAGTCACATCCACATCAGAAAGTTTATGCTGTGAACAGAAGAATGTTTCTAAACTAAATAAATACCTTAAGATGGAAGGGAAATACATTTATTGCTAAATTGACTCTCCTGTGAATTGTTCCCTTTAAGAACGGGCTGGAATGCTGAAAAGTGCCATAAGCACAAGGTCAGCTTTATCTCACTCTATTGACACACATGGCGATAGATCACTGTCAGCATGGCCGCTGACCACCAGGTACTACTGTGTTGCTAGGCTTACCAGTTATAGCATTTTAGGACACATTTCTTGCAATATTTCAGATACTTTTTTGATAAAGTCAACAAATAGAGCTAAAAATTATACAGCACCTCGCTTTTGAAAAATAATACAGAGATTAAAACCAACTTTACCCCAAAGATTCCGATAATGGTGTTAAAGTGCCATCTCCCCGGTCTACCACACGGAAGAAGTTCAACTGATCCCCTTCTCGATATACTAAGAAGGTAACTTGTTTGTTGGATGGCCCTTTCTCCCAAATCTCATCTCTAGTGGGATCCATGTATTCAGCCATTTCCCTGATAGGGTCTTCCACAGGAACTATGAAGAGAAGGAAAAAAAAACCAACCCAGAGTAAAACCAGATGATTATTATTATTGTTTTGATCACCTTTGAGAATTCAGCTCAGTTTACAATGGGAATTCCCAATCTAGAAGATACGCTGAGGGTTTTTTTCCCATGTGAAAATTATCAAGAGGATTTCTCCATTTTCATTCCTGTATAGACGATACACAGGTTTAACACTGGACGAAACCAATGCCTGATTCTTAATAATCAGATTTTTAAAAGTATATGTATAATTACATTACAGCATATTTTTTCTGCAGGTAAGGAACTGCTGATTTTAAAACTATACATATAAACATACTTGTTAAACTAAGGGCAAACAAAATGAAAAGGATGGTGCACTTGGTGTGTTAAAGAAGAAAAGATGAAAAAAAACAACCCAAAAAAAGACTCTCTCCATTTTTGTTAAGTACTTTCCAACTGATTTGGAACTGAAGTCTGCTCATCTAGAATGCTTAGCTAAGAAAAGCTGTTTCTGGTTACAAGATGTTGCATGAAACTATTTTGAACTCAGTTGGCACTTACCTCTTCTAGTGTTAATAGGTCCACCTCGCATAGCCAGAACTAATTTCAGAGTGCAGCCTTCCGAAATGCTGAAAATAACAAATAAAATTTTGCAGCATCATGATTACTTATGCTAATAATTATTTAGAAACATTAATTGTCATTTATTCTATACTTACTTATAATCATTCAAACAATAGTCATCCCTCAGTTCTGTATTATTCCAAATTAAGTGCTGCTGAGAGACAGGAATACCTAAAGAAAACAAACAAAATATTATTAAAATTCAAGCTTAATGGGAGTTCTGCTTTTTGAAGAATGAAGAGCATGAAGCAATGAAAGAGAGGTGAGAAAGTGAATTACAGGGGAAAGACAAGAGGAAACAGGACAAGAACAGGTGCATGATATCCAACCTTCCAAACAGCTCTTAATAACAATAGCTGTTGTTCTTTGAAAGTCAAAGATAAGACCATTAGCAGGCTTGTGTTCACACAGAGTTCAATCTTTTGGCTCAACAAGGGGTCTGTAAAAGTACGCAACTGCTTCAGACTTACTGAATACTACTTCTTTTACAGTCTTCGGGTGAGAGTTTTTTCCCTGTTGTCTGTACCTCAGAGCTTTACGTCTACTGACAGGATAAAACTTCTAACTATAGAACTGCTGAATAATTTAATCACAGACTGATATTCTGTATTACAGTCAAGACAAGGTTGCATTAAGGCAGCTCTATTACAGTGGTGACAACTCGATGTTTTTTTATCATTGTTTGGTTTGGAACCAGAAGGTTCACATATACAATACAGTACCATAGCAGGTAGTCAAACTTTGTACTACAAACACTTTTATTTTGTTGTGGGTGTTCTTTCAGGCCATCAGAGCATTTTATTACTCATACACAGTATTATTAATTTTCAACTCAAGTTCTGGGACAGATCTGGCTAACTATTTTTTGTTAAAGGGAAGTAAGCATTATGAGTATTTCCTTATTAAAAATCCACATTCTACACAACAATTAACTTTGTTTCTTCATAGTCAACTTATTTAGATACATATGTAATACACATAAATATGCATAAGCCATTACAACCTGAGGTCTTCACACATTTTTACTAGAATGCTACCACTCTCCAAATTTGGGTGAGAATACAACAAGAAAAGATGAGACATCTCAGATCACACACAGAAAAAAAAATTCTTCCCTTCAGCACCAAAAAGAAGTACTGTTGTTCAATTTGTCCAGTGAAGTCCAAGTAATCAAGATCTCACTGTGCATTCCTGACAAACTGTAATTAAAATGAATGCCTAGAGAGGCCAGAACTACTTTTTCAAAAGGGTCTAAGTCCTAATCGCAGCCTAAGAAGCAAAAGCTATAAATATATTTTCCAAAAGGCTACATTAAAATAACCTTATCTTGTACTTTTATTTACTGCATGTTGAGGTATTCAAAAGGATATACAAGTAGCAATGCCATACAGTAGGACTTCCCAAAATACATCTGGCAAGAGAATACAAAGTTCAGACTCTTCCAGGTGGTTTCCAAACATACCCTAAAGCTACCAACACCCATCACTAGCAAGGAAGAAAAGAGGAAAGTCTGAACAGATTCAACAGGCAAGCAGGAGACATGCTATGTGGACATCCTGCAGAAGGAGTGCACTCTGGAGGAACTGTCATTGTTATTTAAGTTTTAGAGAAGATGGTAATTCCCTTTTCTCACCACAGCTCACATCATCTTCTCTTTTATGAACAACCAATGCAACTTTACTTCAGTTGGACAGCATTTAACAGGAATCTTGTATTCTCTGAAGTCCACAAGACATTTATGAGAGGAATATGTTCATATAGTAGACTAACATAAGTGCTACTACACTGCCAGCTATTTAGTAACTGGGTTTCAGTTATGATTCAAGTCTGCAGCATAAGCAAAAGAAGAACAAGCTGGCAAGAGCCAGCAAGTCTACGGTGAAGTTGTTTTCTGTGTTTTTGCAGTCTTCTGATCACAAACAGTCATTACTGTCTGCATTTGTTATGGTTTCAGCAGCCTCCAAGGAGCAATTTCCAATTACTTTGATAAACCAAGAGAGCACTTGTCAAAAAGACTGGCTTGCAACTGGCTGTACTACAGTGAAACATGGTTTTGTTCATTTAACAATGACAATGTATTTTTGGTTAAATGAACAGATGAAAAGACTACTCTGCTTTAATGAAAAACAGTGAAGTCTTTATTACTAATTCCCTTTTATGCTGCTTTCTAAGAATTCTATATACACAGAGGAAATACCATGTGCTTTATCGGTTCAGGTGCAGGAAAAAAACAATCAGCTGTCCCTTTTCTGGATCATAGTAAGGCTTTCTTGAGAAAAGATTTGTGCATGGGATCAGCATGTAAAACTGGCAAAAATAATAAGAACTGCAAGATCCTATCCACTCTCCCTAAGCAACACATGACTGTATCACCAGCCTGCTCTAGATCGGTTCCAAAAGAGGGGTAATAAGCTACATCTCAGTGCTCAAATGCACTTGGCCTAGACAGGTGATAGTACAGAAGAATCTGCAGGCTTCTGGTTGTGCATCTGCCTGCCCTTTTCCTGTCTGCTCCCATCCCCTGGGATGCTCCAGTATCTCAGGAATTTCCATCAGGCCTTGGCCTTTGCATGATAAGTTGGACAGTGAAGTGTCCCTTGACCATACCAGGAACTCTTGCATGGCTAAGGGGGGAAGCACTGATCACATTAGGGACTTCTGTTCCCTGGCTAAGGTAGGAAAGGAGTGCGGAGATAAAGTCAGTCATCCCCTGACAGCCTTGGAACATTCCTTCCTGTGATATAGCCTGAACAGAACAATACCATTGTTAACTGGAGGTTTGAGAAACTTCTAGTAATTACCAAGCCAGATTTTGGTCAGGCGGGAAACTTACTAACAACTAAAGCAAATCATTTTGTAATCCTATAAGCAGTGGTCTCTAGCGAGACGTTTTGAGCACTCCTGGACCACAGCAGGCTGCTACCAGCATCTCCCTCTGAGTTCGATGCCCCTCAGAGCTTCCAGACTCTAAAGTTTGTGATAAGTGGAGGACCATCACCAAAAGACGGGACCTGAGCTGAAGTCTCCCCACCCCTTGAGAAATGCTGAGACATTAGGAATATTCTAGTCAACTTGAGGGGAATTTTTAGAAGCTATGCCTTTATATGTCTTCATGTATGTGTACGTGTGTAGGTTTTATATAGATTATATATGCTTTATAGATTTTTTTATAGATTGCTATAGCAAGTGTAGTAAATACTATTGACTTACTTTATAAGATCCACCTTAAAACTGCAAACTGCTGGTAGGTGAAATCTGTGTAAAAATTCCCTCTGTTGTGAACTGGTGCACTTGTAACCCTTCAGGCATATACCACTGACCAAGTCCGAGACTTAAAACTACACTCATCCACACCTAGGCTCCTTTGAGAGAAAGGGGTCTATTCTGAAGCTTGTGACTCAACAGGAGGGTCTTCCTTACCGTTTTGTGTCTTGTCTTCAGTCTCTGCACCATTCATCTTTAGCTAGATTTTCCTTTGTATGTCTCATCCATGTAATAAGTAAGAGCAAACCTTGCCATTAAATTCTGTTAAGTTGTACTTTTATTAACTCACTATAAAACTATTCTTTGCTAATACCTTTGATGGTCATTCTTTGAGCTACCTTAAACCACTCTTCATGCAGGTCTGTCTCCTGAAGTGGCTGCAGATGCACTGACAATCTGACCTACTAAAATGTGGGGAGGAAAGAAGTAAGTACTCTGTCCTATTTCTGAATCAGCCTATCAGATATATTCTTAAGCTTCACTCCTTTACTCTTCTTTCTGGCACGCTAAGCCGGTTCACCAGAGAAACTGATGTAGCCAAGTCAGACCCAGAAACAAATGACCAAACCTGTAGATTTCACAACAAACTTGATTTTATATTGTGTATAGAAGGTTACTGAGTTTAAGAAAACACCACAGACATTTAGAAGCCAAAGTTCAAACATTTTACTTATCTTTGATCCAATGTTCAAATTGCTGTAAAGTTCCTTATTTGTTCTTGCTTGCAGAGAGGTTGGTCTGACAAGTCTTATTTTCCCCCCACAGGAGAGCAGGGGGAAGAGGTGCAAAGGTTCACAACTTACAGCAGCAGGACTGTTTTCGCAACTCCTAAATCTCCCATCTTTCATTTGCACATAGTCAGCTACATTAGTGTGCATGGTGATCAGTGCTGACCTATTCTTTATTCTAGGCACTGACAGAGGAGACTAACAGCAAGTCACCGTTAACTGAATACAGGCCAAACTTCCTAGCAAATGTGACCTTCCAAAAGCTGTTCTGACCATCTGATCTGGGCACAAGCTTGCATTTGCAGGAATGTTTTCCCAGCTCAGACAAGGCATAAGCTTGAAGAAGCTTCATGAACTTCTTTTAGTCTTTATCGGCACAGTAAACAGGCAAATAACTAAGCAAACAGGAGACACAGAGGAAAAGTAGTAGACAAAAGAAAAGCAAGTTTTTTTGAAAACTTATTACCCTTATGCAATCAATTTATTCCAGTCCTGACAGAAACATAACCATTTTCTCTAACATTAGTAGTAATAAAATATAATACATACTCTGAATTCACAGAATTTAGAAAGAAATTATAACATCCAGAAGAAATCTGCTTGATATTCATCCACTTCCTTTGCTTCAGGTGAAGCTGCTGTACATAGGCAGCAAAATAATGACAGGAAAAAGACCAAAGTATCAACTGCCATGATGAATTAAAGAGTACACACACATTCAACAAAACGCTGTTGCATCTGTTCCCTGCTGAACACAAGCATTCCAAATTAACTAGCTTTAAAAGCCAGTTCTGTTTTTCCGCTTTACAATAATACAAGAACAAGAGAACATCTAAGTTTTCACCTAAAAAGATAGATGTTTCCATATATGCAGATCACAAAATTCAGTTGCAAGCAGTCACTGAACAAATCACAACCAAGTTGTTTCTTCTTATTTTTAAACTAGCTATGTAAATGAAGGCCTTAACCCTCCAGCTGCAGAATGCAAATTAATTCCCACAAAATAATAATACCACTATTACCAATTCCCAACCCCAGCCTCCCCCCCTTGAGACTCGATCCTATTTTACTGAACACACACATTTACAGATGTTATCTATTGTTCTGTAACAGATGAAAGAATTAGCCACTCCAGGAATACACTATCAGAATGTTCTTTCTATAAAAGTCAATATAATAATTGGTGTTTCCAAATAAGGAATACTAAACTTTGCCCAGAAGCTACAAAGACTTGTGCAATAAAGGTAGCAAGAAGATATCTTCCACCAAAAAAAGGCAAAAAGCTATTTCCTCTTTCATTGAAGTCCTGCTATTTTTAAGTACCGTTCATGTGTTAAAGCTCAGTCTTTCATGTCACCTTGAAACTCAGGTACCACCTTATCCATGTCCTGCTCATTCATGTCACTCCAACACATGATCCTGCTTTCAAATACAAATAATCAAATGAAACCAATGAAGCAGGTAACACTGCTGCCCACACTATGCTGTGCTACTGGCTGTGTGTATTCTAGCTTTTATGCCACCAGCAGAGACAAAGGAAGATATTTCTTCTCAGTGTACCACTTTAAAAAGCTCATTTGGTGAATCTGAGACAAGGAACAATTCACTGTAAGTGGCTCCAAAGTCAACATTATAACAAATCTAAATTTTTGGATACCAAGTGCTTACTTTGCCTGGAACATATTTGAGGATAAATGCCTGGATTGGATAGAAACACATCAGATCTGCTTTAACTTCAACTCAGAAGTAGAGTTAAGAGTTGCACTGAAATTTCAGATGCCTTAGAACCCATTAATAAATTTTTACCCCTATTCTTTACTGACTTAAAACCAACTGGAAACAGCTGGAGATATGGAGCTCACTCTTAGTAAGGCACCAGTGTCTACTACAGCTGTCTAAACAAGCCCTTCCCATATCAGATCATTAAACAGACACCAAGAATGACAAGTATACAAAACTCCTAACATGCCATCCATATTATCCTTTCTTATTACAGTGCAGTCTACAGCTATTGATTTTCAGGTTGTTGACAAAGGTCAGTTTTCTTGATTTAGTTTTATTATTAGACTTTTACAACTAGATGTATTGGTGACATTTGAAAAAAAATTATTAACTTCTGAGACAACTCTAGATTCCGTTCTTGGAGATACCAAGTCTTAATTTTCCCCTAACTTGTCCTTTTATATGCTTACATACCATTACCCTTACACTCAAATGAATCCATAGAGACAATACATATACTAGGTACCCTATATAGTCTCCCAGCAGTGCAGGAAGCATTCTTCAGCCAGAAGTGCAGCTTAAATGCACCTCTTTGTTCACACTCCATGAAAGTTGACACTATACAATAACAAAAAGTTAAAAACAGCAGCAGAAAAAGGAACAGGGGTAAGCTTCTTACTTCCCATACTAAATCACAACAGCAAAATTACTTTAGGATTTTTGCTTTAGCTGGGTGATTCATTGCTTGCACTTGTACACTGTTAATAGGAACTCCATCAATTAAAAGTGGTTCATTACTTTTTACATGCAGTATCAACCCCAAATGCAACATAAAATTGATTTGTCACTGTATATCTGTCCCCTCCACACACAGTTGATCAAGATGTCTTCACTCTGCCTCAAATAAATAATATTAATCAGGACACTGCAGATATTTTAAACTGTGTTCTGGAGTACCAAGAAATTTCAACTGACTTCTAACAATTCAATGGTAAACACCAGTGAAGTCTTATCTTCCATATTTTAATGAAATTTACTTACTAATAAAGTCCATATAGCAGGCACCTAAGCTACTACCTTATCCTATCAACTACAATACCAGAACAAAATTCTCAATAAGTAATATTATAACTTCATTACTTAGCTGTTCTTATAAGAAACTAGTAAGAAACTATGATACTTTTGTAAGCTAGGCACACTCAGCCTACAATAATAAGCTATAAGTATAATTCAGGATGTCTACTGGCAATCTCCTATTTCAGAGTAAATTAAAATTCCTCTTCCTCACATCTCCTACTGTCTTTGCATGCATCCTTTAACACTCACTTCATCTATACTGTCCAGATACCTTTCCTTCTCCTATACTCTACTGCCTAAGCTCCCTTTTAATTCACTCTTAGTTAGCATTCTATCATGTATCTGCTTACATCTCTCCTACGCCTATATTCAGTCATGAAGGAAACACCTTTCCTTTTCTTGTTTCACCTCTAGCCTCCAGGAGCATCTCAACATATTCTCAGACTTGTGATTAATTATGGCCCTGTCCACAGGAAACAAAAGCGTATCTACATAGCTGCGCTAATGGAGGTACAATGATGTAAACTCTAGTTATCTGCATGGTGGACCTTTTACTATGGGACCTTACTAGCAGAAAGTCATCCCTATTGTTGAACGCTTTTGTGTTTTAAGACTTGTCAGCTACATTTTTTTTCCTGTTCATTAGCACAGATTTCCATAAGAGGAGGACAGTACCTTAGATTCAAGTCTAAAGCATAGCATTACATCTCACAGAGGGTGGGTTCCACACAGACAGAAGAATGAAAAAAGTGTTCAGCTATACTGGGGAAAGAGAGGATCCCTTTTCTTACAGATCAGCAACTCTGGTACCCTCAGCTTGTGTAGCTACAGAGTTCTTTAACTCCTCCAAAGTAAGGAAAAGGATACAGTGCTTCAAAGTAGCTGAAGTATTTAAACTCATGTGTTTTAAATAGCATTCTTTCATGCAGGATCATCCTCACTGTAGAGTGAAAGAGGTGAGAGAGGACTAAGCTACATCTTTTCTCCTCACATTAGCACCAGAACTGGACTCAAAGGAGGTTTTCACTTTGCAAGATGTGCCAAGTTCATCACGATAAGACAAATCATTGTTCAGCCAGACTTTTACCAGAAAAAGATCATTCACTTAAACAAAATTCTAACTTCAAGCCACCTTTGCATCTGCCTGCACTACAGCTGGTCTTGTGACTGCAGTATCATAAACCATAAACTAGCTAACCTAAGAAGCAACAACCAGAGCACCTATGTTTAAAGTATGCTCGACAGTTGCAATATAGACATACTGCAACACTCGAGTTTATAACCTTGCTAGTTAACAAGTTATACCAGAGAATACTTTAAAAACCAAAAATGCTATATCCCATATAATACCACAATTAATGATTTAACATAGACTTCTAAAGATTTACCTTATTAAACAAAACACAACAACAAAAGGAGGGCAAAAATACCAATTCCAGCAAAGCCCAAGCTATGAACTGACAGGAAAAGGAAAAAAGCAGAAAAACCCCTCAATTCCAATTAAACCCAAGCAGTAAACCAAGCGCCTAGTTTATATACATAATACTGAACAAGTCATTAATCCGATCTAAATAGCAATTATAATTTTTAAAACAAGACTTTCTCTAAAGTGAAGTTTATACTGAAATGAGAGAACAGTACCTTCCAGTCTTTGAATTTTAGCTTTCACAGAAATAACCGTTTCAAAGGGGGAAACTCGCAGTTCAAAGCACGTTCCTGTGAGTGTTTCAATGAAGAGCTCCATAGTTTCACAAAAAGGAAGCTTGTAGTGAAACGGTCCCATATTATCTTCGTTGAAAAAAGGAGGCTCTTTCTTGTTGGCCATTACAAAGGATTTACAACTTCCTTGTAAGGAGATCTGTCAGAAACTACATTCCACTTCCAGCCAAGTCAGCTTTGAGGACAGGTGTGGTGCATCGCTGTTCATTTCTAGGATTTTTCATCTATAAAGCAAACAAGCATAGCGCTAACAACATCTGCATGTGGCTGTTGAAGAGAATTCATTCTTGATGAAGAATGGAACAGCTATTAAGAAGCAGTAAATTACTATGTAGGTTGTACAACAGATTACCACAAATGCTATTAGTATATTGTAGGTTTAGGACTCTAGTTTCAGTCAGCATTCCAGGGCCTATCTCCTACCTTTCTTATGTCTGTTTTCACAAACGACCTACACTAACGCCTAAAGCCAACATGAGCTGAGCCCTTCAGCAGGATCAGACCTGCGGAAAAAGCTCCAGGAAGGCATAAATACGAGGACTCGTCCGGGCTCGGGGAGGGCAACAGGACAGCAGCTTTCACACCTCGGCCGCTCCATGCTGCCCCCGGCCCAGTCCAGCCCTGGCACCGGGAGGCAGGCCGGACTCAGGCCAGCGGAGTCGAGCACCCGCAAACAAAGGAGCAAGAGCAGTTGCCCACCCTCTCTCCCACCCGCCGCAGCCACCGCCGCCGATCCTCGGTGCGGCCTCACACCCTGGGTAATACGCGAGCCCCACCTCAAGGACCAGCCGTGCCCCAGCCCACCCCCAAAGGAATCCACCCACCTTCCCTCCAGGGACGCGCTTACCACCGGCGGGGACGCGGGAGGGGTTAGCGCACTGCCCCTCTCCTCGGGTCCCAGGGACCCCGAGACAGCAGCACTCCCGGGGGCTGCAGAGCCGGTCCGCGATGGGAGGAGAGAGGGAGGGGTCTCATCTCACCTGCCGCCGCTGGGCCCGCTCGGGAGGAGACAGAGCTTCTCTCCCCCCGTGCAGCGCCGCCGGCCGTGCCTCACAGGAGCTCTGCAGCCCCGGCGGGACTCATGCAGCCGGAGGAGCTATAGGGTAAAGAACTATGGGGTAAGGGGCTAGGACCCAAGAGCCCCCCCCCAAAACGCCGCACCGCCACCACTCGCTCCCCGGCAGCCCCCGCGCCTACCTCTCCTTCATGACATCCTCCCCGGGCAGCCTCCTACGGGCCAATGCGACGTCGGTTCTCAAGCGGCTCTCCCAATCAGCTCCCTGGAGGGGCGGTGCTCCGGGAGCCTCAGGGGCGGGTGTCCGCCGGGCCGGGCGCGCTGCTGTCGCTTGTTGTGGTCGTTAGGACGCGGGGAGGCAGAGCATGCGCGGAGAAGGACCCGGATGCAACTCCCCAGCCTCTAACGGCAGCCACGTGACGGAAGGCCGCGGTGGCTCCTGGGACGTGTAGTCTAGCGAAGGCCAAGGGGGCCAACACCTCGCCCCGGCCCTACCGCTACATCTGCTCAAGGAGAACGGTCAAAACCAGCGTTTATACCTCAAATTGAACCCGTGAGGCGTCTAGGGAACGCTAATGCCTACCAGCACAGCACTGGGCCCAGTCGAAGCACAAGTGGGATGACACCCAGCCACTGCAGGCCTTTCCCTTATGCTGAGCCAGTGCTGGCTGGAGGTGAGCGCAGCTCTGAGGCACCTTTACTCATGGTCAGTGCACGACTCTGCTCTTGCTTCAGTGTCAGTCAGTCAGTCTGGTCTCCAGACGTAGCTCTTCCCTCAGCCCATCAGCGTCTTCCAGTGAAATACTAGACAAAACAAGCTTACCTTATTAGGATGTGCTAATTACATTAAGCAGTTTACTTTCCATTTAGGTTTTAAATAATGTAAGACCTGCCCTGGGCCTGAAACAAAACAGCTAGAGTCAGTTAGAGCAATCAGAACAAATACTGTGTTTTACTGCGTGCAAGTAGCAGGTACAGAACTCTCAGACAAAGTCGCTGAGCAAGTCCTGGGTGCTGTAACACTGGACCTCCAGCTCTGCCCTTCCTAGGAAATGCAGTTATGGTTTATCAAACGTGGGAAAGAAACAAACCAAGCCAAAACTCAGTTTAAAAAGCCACCACTCAGACCAAGCTCTCCTGAAAGCAAAGGACTTAGACCAGGATTCACAGTCTGTTACAAGGAGTTAATTGAGGACCGCTCCATTTTAATGGGAAGAGACGCTCCCTGTGCCAGTTTTTATCTGTGTCAGGGTGCAACTTTCTATCATTCCATATTAAAGTTTAAGAAACATTTTAAGGCAGTTTTTTTTTTTCCTTCTACTCCAACAGCTTTTGGCCTCCAGGGTTCTTGGCTTATGAAGAGCACTCTCTGTAATGCTAATAGAAATTATTAACGTGAAGGGCCAATAAGAAAGGAGGATGCAGAAAAGAAATGGAAGAATTCACCATCTTTTTCCTCTTTCTCCCAGTATGTCTTTAAAGCCCTTCTAAGCAGAGGAGAAAGGAGTAAAGCAGCAGTCCAAATCATGTATGTGGCATTTGCAGCAGATGTAATGCCTATAAATAAAGTACAAGTGCTCTCACTGTAGATACCCATTTGCAAATAGCTCCTACATTCTTTTCCAATCTGCTACTCCCAATTTAGCCCCCATTTAACATGAATCACTGCCAGGCCCACCTATGACTCAATCAATACACAGTGTTTCTCCTTTATCCCTTCCAACCTTTCATTCTGCTTTACCCTCATTAGTGCTAGATGCTTCAGCTGCACTGTTTACTGTGCCTGATAAAGTAAATCCAACTTGAGAAACAAGAGACTGAAGCAGATGTCTCAAGAAAAAAAGACTTCAGTGAAAGTGCAAATTTCTCTCAAAGAAGTCCTCTGAGCACATGCAGAACAGTCTAAAGAGTTGAAGATAAAATAGTACATCACTATCATTAAAACAGCACATCTAGTTTTGAAGTCAGAATCGCTGGCAGTCACTAGTAAAATAAGAACAACATTTGATCCTTCTACATTTATGCATTTGCTCTGGTTGTATGCATGCAGGAGAGCAAGTGTCTATCACTGGGCATCAAGTATGGATAATGGCATCAGTTCCAGCAGGACAATCTAGAAATACAGGAAGCAAGAAGGTTAAGACAAATGCATCGGACAGTTACAAGGATTCTACAAAATAGCAGCCTCCTGCAAACAGCCTACAGGTTACACGTGAGAAAGGGAAGCAGACAGCAATCCTTTTGCCACAAGTGAGTCTTTGCACTAAGGTATGCACACAGGCTTGTTAACCTGGAAGCAACCAAGCATGCTCAGTTCAGACAGACTTCTTGGAAAGTGTTATTTGCAAAACTTAAGCAAATCCAGTTAGGTAAAAAAAAAAATCTCTTTAGTAACTTACAACTTGGATAGAAGACAACATCATGTTTCTTATGTTTTCATAGAGCACTAGGTGCTCATCTGTAACACACTCTTTCTGGCAGAGAAGTTTTAACCATTGTTATTTTTATAGATCACATTAGCTGCCAGTATGATATAATATTCTCTTTGAATGGTGTCAAGTCCTGCACTAATTTTATTAACTGCCTGACTACGTAAGAAGAGAAGCTGTACCTGATAACAAAACCCAATCTTACCCTAACATTAGCTCAGTTGATTGGCAGCTGACCCAGACAAGGCACTGTAGTGGTTTTGGTTGTTTTCAAGTCATGAAAAGTGGTCCTTAGTGAGTGGTAAAGAGGAAAGTAAGACATACAGACAGATCTGGTTTAACAGGCTCCATTTACTATTTATCAATTATGTTCTCTAGAGATCTGTTCAATAAAACAAGCTATACTTTGTATAATAGATTACTCCATTGCAGGTATTGCACAGGCTATATTCATCTGGGCATCATGGAAACAGATAGCAGGAAGTTACTGTCTTTTTTAAAAAATATATCATTTAGAGCAGTCAGACCCAGCACAAGAGAATACTAACCATTTTAAATGGGTAATCATTTAAATATCCACAGTCATCTCATTTCAGCACTATTGGATTAGAGAATCCAGATTATTAGTACTGTACAGACGTAAGGAAAGCCTCCTCTTCACAACACACTCCTCTTGGCTATTGGCCTCCAAAGGCATTCAGTGGGTCATCAAATGTGCTCAGTGTCTTGCTTTCAGATTTCGCTTCTGAGGCTGTTTGGGAAGATCTGATTTTGGGAGTGGGCATCTTGACTTCGCTGCTAGAGAAGATATCATCTAAAAGGGGTTGAAAAAAATTAATGTGAAGTGACTGCCAAACAGAAGTAACACTGTACATAAGCCTCCAGCACACAGCAGTGACTGCCAAGGACATTCTGTGATAAACAAATGCTTTCCTGCTGCTTGCGATTCTAGATGCATTTGTAAGGACATACGTGGGAGCTGTTAGCTGTAAGTCAAATTAAGAATATTGTTTCTTCTCAGTAGAGCAGCATAATACTTGTATTTTGTCATGTGTTCAAGCTCTCTTAAGCATTTGAGAAGTACTAATAAATTAAACCTCCACAATAAATTCCATAGTGTAAGTGCCAGATAACATCCCTCTTATCTGGAACATTAATGTCTGAGGAACCCAAGAGATCTAACTGCTGTGAGATGCTCCTGGAGAAAACAGAAGAGGAAAAGATGGTACTTGCTGGTGACTACTCATGACATCCACTAACTATGTAAGAATCTTTGATCTATAGTACTATAAAAATACAGCATACATCACTTGAGAAAAAAAAAACACAGCTAAGATGCAAGGAGAAAGACAGCTAAAGCTACCATCCTGCCGAATATTTGAGAATCTGGGCACAGTCCTGAATCAAGATCTCCCACCACTTTCCTCAATACAACCATTTTTGTTACTCATAACTAGGACAACAAAGTAGAAAAATATCATATTGCTATTAAGACAGAGTTCTCTCCTGAAAAATATAACAAGTAGAAATGAAACCTAACCCAGATCCCCTGTGCCAGCAGCAGAGCTCACAGACCTGCAATTCTTACTGTGCTTAGTGCTGCTTGCATTGAGGACCACGCTCATGGAAAGGGATGGAGCTGCTACAATACACATGCTGAACTGTTGCCCTGAGGTTTCCTGGGCACATGCAATTTCATAGCTCTTCCTATACACTAAGGTTTTAAGTTTAGGATACTCAGATTACACAGGTGGATTATGAGAAATTGAAAATTACAAGACTGAGATATGTGGATTACTAGTGATTCACAAGGCCAGTGTAACAGGCACATAATTGGTCTCCAATCTCTATTAAAAACCACAGGTTTTACACAAAGGTTAATAGCCACTTACTAGTCCAGAGTCTAAAAACTAGCATGTCAGCCTTCAGCATGTATCCTAACCTTGAGCAGAAGCCAAGCACAACGTGGTCTGTCACAATGTGCTTGCCTTTCTCTTCTTGCTATTTCTTCCACTCCAGCACATGTCTGCTAGGGATTACATGGGAATAATCCAGGACAGCATTGCAGCACAAGAGCAGTTTAGAAAGGCAGTAAAACAGAGTAATCCCCTAATGGCATGACTCCAAAGCAAGAAGCTATCACATGGATTAGCTTCACAGCAGAGGGGAAGTACGAGTGTATAAGCAGTAGAAGTATCATTCCCATTTTATAACAAGGCTTAAGGAATAGGAAAGTTTTGGCTGTCAGAAACAGTATTTGTCAATGCACAAGCTTAGTCACCATTTTGCAGACAGGTAGATCAAACATCGAGATATTTGTATCATCAGCCGTAAATTCACTGAGGAGGCTATGAGGATAAAGACCTGAGAAAGAGTTTTTCTAATACTACCACCAGAAGCCTAGCACAAAGGTAGTAAATAGTGACTAGAAGCTGTGCTAGGAAAAAGGAAAGCAGCCTGCAGCTTCCATCCTCTCCCCAAATTGTACACACTTAATGCTTTATTTGCAGCAGAAAGAATCCTAAGACAACAATATACAGTCCTGATAAAGGATCATGATACAATAATCACTTAAATCAACCCTTAACCTGAAGTACAGGTAAGTTCTGGAGCCCTATAGCTTTGGGCACTAAGAGGCTGCATATTTACAGCTGCACCACAGAACAGTCAATACTCTTGAGGAAGATCAAGTCCATCAGATACAGGGTGCTGTAGATCAGATGTGACATGAAACAACAAGTTCTAAAAGCAGAGCAGATGACAAAAGTGGACATGCAAATGACAGGTTCTGAGTGGCTAATTTTCCACGATACTTTCAAGTGGCATTCTACAACTGTTTTTTTCACGAGGTCTGGATTTTTGTGCTGAAATATTTGGAAGTGGTAGCAGGTTGGGCAATTATTTCATTTGCTATATGCTGCATGAAAAAGTGTAAATATTAAAATAAGACATTTTAACTATCCAATACGTATTTCAAATACCTTGCCTGCAAACATTTGACTCTTATTTTTTATATCAGTTGAGCAGCTTTTAAAATCTCAAGATGTTTATTCTCTGGAAAGCTTTCCAACGCATCTACAGACTTCAGTCAGGTCATTCCATCAGGCTGGAATGTTTAACAGTAGTCCAAGCAAAACAGTGATAAGTCAAATTCAATTTGAACAGCTTAGAAAGAATGATGACAAGAATCAGAGCTGGAAGAGAAAG